ACCAAGAGAGGTCACTGAGCAACCAACAAGATGGAGGGCCAAAGATGGGAGTCAGTATTGTTAGGATTCCTAAAGAAATGATCCATAGGTAGCTGTAGATTTTGTGTGTCCATGAGAGGAGATGAGTTCAGGATCTTCCTATGCTGCCATCTTGGACCCCCTGATTTTTAATAAAGTTAATTTGACATAGTCTGCATTCTCTTATTCCCCTGACATCTAGTTGATTTCTTTACATTTTTTTATGTTGAAATAATTACAAATTCTTGGGAAATTGCAAAAATAGTATGGAGAGGTCCTGTGCCCTTCTACAGAAGATTCCCCCAGTGGTTACATCTTGCATAACTGTACTATGATATCAAACCCTAGAAAATGACATTTGTACATATGCGTGTCTACCTCGGTGTCATTTTAGCACATGTGTAGATTTGTGCGACAGCCACCTCATTCAAGATACAGAACTATTCCATCACCGCCAAGACCTCATTCATGCTACTCCACCATAGTCATATACTTCTTTTGACCACCACAATGCCTGATTTGTTCTCCATCTCTATAATTTTGTTCTTTCGAGAATGTTATGTAAATGTAATCATGTGTGATTCCATACATATGTGGAATTATATGTCTGACCTTTAGAGCAGGTGTTTTCCACTCAGCGTGATTTGGAGAGTCATCCAAGTTGCTGGATTTAACCAATAGTTGTTTTTTATTATTGAGTAGTAGTGCATGGTATGAATGTACTTGTTGATTTCTTTTTAAATTTTGCCTATTATAAAATTATTAATTCTCTTTGGTGTGTATTTCTGTGGATTTTGACAAATGCATAGATTTCAGTTTCCACCATCACAGTGTCATTCAAACAATTCTAGCACCTCAAAAGTCCCCTCATGCTGCCCCTTCATAGTCAATCACTCACCCTTCTCCCCTGTCCCTGGAAAGCATTGATTTCTTTTTTGTCCCAAAGGGTTCACCTTTTCCATAGTGTCATATAATTGGAATTATGCAGTATGTCACCTTTTGGTTCTGACTTCTTTCACTTAGCAAACCAAATGTAAGATTCCATGCTGTTGCATGAATTATTATTGTCGTATTCTAGTATATGGATGTACCACAGTTTATCCATCTGCATGTTGAAAAAAAATCTGAGTTTCCAGTTTATGGCAACTGTGTCTAAAACTGCTATAAGCATTTTATTACAAACTTTTATATGAACATAAATTTTCATTTCTCTTGGATAGATATCTGGGAGTAGGATGGTTGGGTCATATGGTAGGTGTTTGCTTCATTTGATAAGAAACTTTTAAACCATTTTGCAAAGTTGCTGCATTATTTTGCATTTCCTCAAGTAATATATGAGAATTCCGGTTGCTTTGTGTCATCACTAGTACTTGCAGTTGCTTTTTGTTAATTGAAAGTATTATTTAGGGGAGCCTGGGTGGCTCAGTCATTAAGCATCTACCTTAGGCTCAGGTCATGATCCCAGGGTCCTGGGATCGAGCCCTGCATCGGCTCCCTGCTTGGCGGGAGGCCTGCTTCTCCCTCTCCCACTCCCCCTGCTTGTGTTCCTGCTCTCGCTATCTCTCTGTCAAATAAATAAATAAAATCTTAAAAAAAAATCATTTAGATAATTATCTAATGATTCATCTGCAATTGTAAGAAATAATACAGAGAGACCTAATATACCCTGTACCTAATTTTTCCTAATGGCACATCTTGTAAAACTGTAGTATAATATCAGAAACAAGATATCAGCAATGATACAATCCACCCACCTTGTTCAGGTTTCCCTTTTACTTGTGCTCATTTGTGTGTGTTGCATGCATGTGTGTGTTTAGTTCTGTACAGTTTATCACGTGAGGTTTGTATATCCAACACCACAGTCAAGATCCAGGGTAGTTCCTCGACCACAAGGATCCCTCATTTTCGTCCTTTCATAAACATCACCATCTCTTTCTTGGATACACCTACCTCATCCCAGACTCTGGCAACCACTAATATGTTCTCCATTTCTATAATTTTGTCATTTCAAGAATGTTATCTATACAACTCAACATTAAAAGACAAAAAATTCTTTAATGGGTAAATGACTTCAATAGCCATTTCTCCAAAGAAGACATACAAACGAGCAATAAGCACAAAAAAAGATGCTCAACATCATTAGTCATTAGGGAGATGCAAATCAAAATCACAGTTAGGTACCCCTTCGGAACTATGAAAATTGCTGTATTTTTTTAAAAAAGGACATTAAGTGTTGACAAAGAAGTAGAGAACCTGGAAGCCTTGTACATTGCTGGTGGCTGTGGAAAACCATTGGGCAGTTCCTCAAAAAGTTAAATGTAATTGCTATATTACCCAGCAGTTCTTCTAAACATATACCCAAGACAACTGAAAACATGTTCACACAAGAACTTGTACATGAATATTCAAAGCAACGTTATTCATGATAGCCAGAAGTTGGTTGAACACAACACAAGTGCCCAACACCTGATGCCTGGATAGACAAAATATGTTCTGTCTATACAGTGAATATCATACAGTTATAAAAGGGAATGAATTGCTGCTACATGCTGCAACATGGATGAACCTTGAAAACATTACACTAAATGAAAGAAGCCAAACACAAAAAGGCTACATATTGTATGATTTCATTTAAATGAAATATCTAGAATAGCCAATCCATAGAGATAGAAAGTTAATTAGTGGTTGCCAGAGGCTAGGAGGTAAGTGGAATGGTGAGTGACTGCTAACAGGTATGGAGTTTTTCTGGGGGGTGATGAAACTATGCTGTAATGTTAAAAACTTACTTACACACAAAAACCTGCACATGGATGTTTATTGCAGCTTTATTCATAATTGCCAAAACTTGTAAGCTACTAAGATGTCCTTCAGTAGATGAATCGATCAATAATCTAGACTATAGAATATTCTGTGCTAAAAGAAATGAACTATCAAGCAATGAAAAGACATGTAGAAACCTTAACTGTGTATTACTAAGTGAAGCCAACCTGAAAAGGCTTCAGACTGCATGATTCCAACTATATACCATCCTGGAAAAGGCAAAACTGGAGAGATCATAAAAAGATCAGAGGTTGTCAGGGATTTGGGGGAGGGAAGGATGAATAGGCAGAGCACAGAGGATTTTTAGGGCAGTAAAACTACTCTGTATGAGGACTCTAATGGTGGATACATGTTACACATTTCTCGTACCCATAGACTATCCATCACTAAGGTAACCCCAACGTAAACTATGTACTTTGGGTGATTGTATCAATGTAGGTTAGTTGATTGTAACAAATGTACCACTTGGTGGGGGATATTGATAGTGAGGTGGGGCAGTGCACGTGTGTGGGCAGCGGGTATATGGGAACTCTGTTAATTATGCTCAGTTTTGCTATGAACCCAAAACTGCTCCAAAATATAGTCTGTTCAGAAAAAGTCCTGACACTAGATAGTGATTGTTGCACAACACTGAATATACTAAAAAACCACTGAGTTGTGAATTGTGAAAGGTGAATTTATGCTATGTGAATTAAAGCTCAATTTTAAAATAAAGAACATGTTCCAAGAACATTATATAAATGGGATCGAACAGTCTGTAACTTTTGGGGATTGTATTGTTTCACTCAGCTTAATTCCTAGGAATTCATCCAGGCTATTGCTAAGTGTCAGTACTTCATTCCCTTGTGTTGCTGAGTAGTAATCCATGGTATGGAGGCACCACAGTTTATCTGCTTATTCACCTGTTGAATTATGTCTGTTTATTTCCAGTATTGGCTGTTTTGAATAAATCTGCTGTAAACATTTGGGTATAGGTTTTTAAATAAACATAACTTTTCATTTCTCTGGGCTAAATGCGTAAGAGTGCAGTTATCGAGTCGTATGGTAATTGCATGTTACCTTTAGGGGGAGTGGGAGAGGGAGAAGCAGGCTTCCCGCTGAGCAGGGACCCCGATGCGGGGCTTGATCCCAGGACCCCGGGACCATGACCCGAGCTGAAGGCAGACGCTTAACCGTCTGAGCCACCCAGGCGCCCCTGCATGTTACCTTTATAACAAACTACCGAACTGTTTTCCAGAGTGGTGCTACCATTTTACATTCCCACCCAGCAATATGTGAGAAATGCAGTTTCTCACCAACATTCGCTTTGCCACTATTTTTTATTTTAGCCATTCTAATAGGTTTGTAGTGATCTATCATTTTAATTTGCATTTCCTGATGGCTAGTGATGTTGAACATCTCATTTGCTTATTCATTCTAAATATAGAATTTAGTTAAGCCTCTAGATCTTTCTACCATTTTATAGGAGATAGAAAAGAGAAACAAGTTGAATGGTATCCTGGGAAACAGTCAAATTCAGAATGTTTTGGGACATTGTATAGTCCACATATACTAATTTCTACAACAAGTCAATGGAGGAAAGAAGTGTGTATATGGGATGACTGTTACGGAATGAAAGAGACATAAGAGAAATAATAGCTAGATGCAACATGTGGAACTTGTTTGGATTTTCATTTGAAAAAGCAAACAAAAGTATCATTGAGACAATTGGGAAAACCTGAAAATGAACAAGATATTAGACCATACTAAGGAATTACTGTTATTTAGACATGGTAATGGCATGGTTGTTACATAAGGCAAAATTCTTTTCAGGTAGAGATCAATACTGAATTATTTATATGGTAATGTATCTAGGATATGTTTTAAAATAGTCGAGCAAAAAAGAACAGAAAAAAATGAAATTGGAGTGGAAGAGTAGAGAAAGAAGATTGGAAAAGTATGATAGCTATTGAAAGTGAATGATGGATAGCTGAGGGTATATTTTAATATTCTTACTATTGATGTTTGAAATTTTCTGGGGTAAAATGTTTGGAAAAGTACTTATTGAAGTAGTAGTTTGTATTTTAAAATAAAACACAAATGTTTGTTGCTCTGAAGCTTTGATGAAAAATACCTGATTCTGGAGGACAAATAACTGAAGTTACTTTTAAAAAAAAATTCAGGCAGAAGAAAACAAAAGATTGAGGGAACTCCAGCTTGAACAAGAAGAAAAATTGGCTATGGAATTGGCAAAACTAAAACATGAAAGTCTAAAGGATGAAAAGATGAGGCAACAAGTAAGAGAAAACAGGTATCTTGGTTTTTATAAATTTCATTTATTTTGTCTTTGCCTTTAAACTTTTATCTAATGCTTAGCACCTGAGAGTGAAATTTCTTTCTTTGTATCATTGCACTTAAGTTAATATTTTGTCTGGAAATACTTATTGCTTTAAATGCTATATATATTCATTTGGGAAAAGAAGTCGTGTTCAAAGAAGTAAAGTATTTAAGGTGAAAATAAATAGCAATTTCTTCTCTTTTTTTAAAATGACCTAAAAAATAGACTCATGAGGGGCGCCTGGGTGGCTCAGTCATCTAAGTATCTGACTTTGGCTCAGGTCATGATCTCGGGGTCCTAGGATATAGCCCCACTTTGGTCTCCCGGCTCAACAGGGAGTCTCTCTGCCCCTTCCCCACCCATGTGCTCGCGTGCTCTCTCTCTTTCAAATAAAAAAATAAAATCTTAAAAAATATGACGCATGAATCCTACTCTTCAGTGAAACCTTAGGGGATACGTAATTTAATTTTCTACACTGACAAATTTCCTACAGTATTTCTGGAAAGTGGCTGGTCAGCTATGGCTCAATACCTCTGGTGATTGGGATAGAAACTTCTTTTTTCATTCAGCCCTAACTTTGAATAATCTTTTTCCCCCTGTTGTTTCAAAATTAATTTCCCTGTAACTTTCATGCATTTATCTCAGTTCTGCTATCTGATGAAAAACATTTAGTTCTTACTTAGAATATCCTTTCATTTATGAATCCCCTAAATGTTTTCTTCTATAAGTTAAATATCCTTCATTTGTTCCATATATAATATGATTTCAAGCTCCTTCACCATCCTGGTTTTCTTCTGTAGATGTAATTTACATAATTATTGTTCTAAAATATTGCCCTCATAATTGTGTATGATGAATGTTCTAGGGTACTGCTTAATACTCCTAGTAGTGGGACTGTTAACCACGTTGTTCTAGAATATATTTCTTAATATTGCTTAAGATGGAATTGCTTTTTTGGAGCAGGCATGCCACACTGTTGACTAAAACTCAGGGCTAACTAAATGCTCATCCTATAGTTACATAGTTTGAATATATTAGAAATTTACTTTGATAATTGTTACATATTATCTTAACTGAACTGGACTTCCGTAGGATATTATATAACCCATGAGTGAGCTTCAGGGATTTTGAGCTTCATTAAATTATATTTATATGTTTGACAAATGTACCCATTGTATTTTTCTGGGTCCACAACTTTTATCAAATTCTTTAAGGGATTACTAATGCTTAAAGATTTAAAATTGCCACTAATGTCTTCCTATTGTTCTAGTTGCAAACTATCTTTTTGGACATTAATTCTCCAGTCATTGTTAGCTATCCCTCATGGGTTTATGTTTATCTGGAGACGAAATAAATATTTCATCATGTATTTGTCTAATTCACTGATCTAAAAATTAAATAGAGGAACTCCCACTTCTAGCAGTTTTTAGACAAGGTGATTCAAATAAATGCTCTCTCTGAGAACATAATATCTGGAGAAAGTATAAAAGATCTGAGAGAGGAAGGAAACCAGAATGGTGAGCTTGGCATTTGTAGCTACACTTCTTCTGGAGGTTCTGCTGATTCCAAAATGATGGCTGAGAGGCCAATAAGCATGTTGCAAGCTGTTCAACATTATTTTACAAGTTTTATGCGTAAGATTTGTACACTTTATGTTTTACTTCAATAATACAGAATTCAATTAGATTTTATTTTTTTAATTTTTTTTTTAAGATTTTATTTATTTATTTGACAGAGAGAGAGAGACAGCAAGAGAGGGAACACAAGCAGGGGGAGTGGGAGAGAGAGAAGCAGGCTTCCCGTGGATCAGGGAGCCCGATGCGGGGCTCGACCCCAGGACCCTGGGATCATGACCTGAGCCGAAGGCAGAAGGCAGACGCTTAACGACTGAGCCACCCAGGTGCCCCTTCAATTAGATTTTATTAGATAGAAACAGATGAAGAGATTATGTGCAAGCAGGTTAGTGGAAAATATCCAGAATAAAGCACAGAGAGACAAAAGGATAGAAAGATACAAAAGAAAACTTAAAAGAGATAAGGGCTATGATGGAAAGTTCTAACAGATGTATAATTTTAGTTCTGGTAGTAGAAATAAAAGAGGATGATGCAGAAGCATTATTTGAAAAGACGCTGGCCAAGAATTTCCAAACATGATAAAAGACATAAAGCCACAGGTTAAAACACAACAAACGATGAAAACTATATCTATACTCACCCTAGTCAAACTTTTGAAAGCCAACAATAAAGAAAACCATGAAAATCACAAAAGTAGCCCCACAAAAGACTACTACCTTCAAAGGAGCAGCACTAAGAAGTATGACTGGATTTTGAAAGCCAGGAGTGAAAATGAGAAGACCATGGATTTAAAGGGCCATAATAAAATAATGGCCCATATAGAATTCTATACTTCGTGAAAATTTTCTTCAAACTTAAGGCAAAAGTTATTCAGTTGAGTACTTATTCAAATAGGGTATGCTGTTTCTCAGCAGTGTCAAAACTTCTAAGAGTTTTTCACTTTTTGCATAAGCCATGGTAGAATTTTGACTTATGCAGAAATGGACCATTATTCTGATCAGTGTTTTCATCTGCTAATTGGCAGGTCTAAATTCAAGGAAATGTTTGCTGTGGTACTCAAAATATATCCTAAGTTATTAAAATAAATCTATAGTAAGATTAAACTCTTTAAATTTAAAAGAAATGAATTTTTAAAAACCAGGGTGAATTTGGAAAGCTCATTGAAATTTATTTTGAAAATAACTGAGTTTGAAAGTCATGAGATTGTTTTGTTATTTGATTTTTGAACACATGATTTTTTTTTTTTTTGCACTGCTTTAAAAAATTTTATTTCAATGCAACCGTAACACACCAGAGTAGGTGTGAAACCCAAAGATGGGAGCACCATATCTTATCATTGCTTCCCCGGAAGCTGAAGCAAAAATACAGCACTGAGAACACATAGACTGATCTTTCCTATTTCTGAGACCACATGAGAAAAAGGCATTTTTCTAACTAAAGTCCAATCATAACATTTTTCATTTAAAGTCAGTGTCTCAAATTGCAACCTGCAGGTGAACCACAAAACTGCTATGATGCCTGTAAGCCTCGTATTTCTTAAGGACACAGGCCAAAATGTCCGATTTAAAGAAAGCATGGTATTTCACAGATGTCATGAGACACTTGCTTAAACAGAAAGGAGAGCTTTAAAATGCAAATGATACTTTGTGAAATTTTTTTTTAAGCACTAAAAAGAAGGCTGAGGGAGGAAATTACAAAGATTATAGAACACATGATTTTTTAATCCAAGAAAATATTTAAAAGACAGTTTATCACTGCTTTTTTATTTAAAGATTTTATTTATTTATTTGACAGAGAGAGACACAGCGAGAGAGGGAACACAAGCAGGGGGATTGCGAGAGGGAAAAGCAGGCTCCTTGTTGAGCAGGGAGCCCGATGTGGGGCTCGATCCCGGGACCCTGGGACCATGACCCGAGCCAAAGGCAGATGCTTAACGACTGAGCCCCCCAGGCCCCCCAGTTTATCACTGCTTTTAACTTGAGATGGGACAGTTACTCCCTATTTTTAGAAGTCCTTTTTAAATTATAGCATGAATCAATTAATAATTACATGTGTGATTAGTAATTTTAATTACTTAAAATTATGATTAATTGTATAATTAATTTTTATAATTACATAATTAGCAACTATACATATATTACATAGTTAACACATAGGTATATGAAAGCAAAAAGAATTACCTCATATGTAATTTGTATTTAAGTTCAGCAAAAACTAGCCCAAAGAAGAGATAAAAGATAGTCTTCCGTTATTAAATACATAACCAGTTCCTTGCTGGTGCCTGTACAATTACAACAATCAAAGGTTTATAGCAACCAAGTGAATGCTGAATGAAGAAAAAGCAACTTAGAAATGGTACCAAAGTTTGTGGTATTTTTTTTTTTTTTTACTTGTCCTTGCTCCATCTCTTCCCAGCTCTGAGGCAGTCTTGAAGTAGCCCATATTGTGAGTATCTATCCCTGGATCTAGAGAGAGCAGAGCAGATCTTAATTAGAAAATTATTGTATATTTATGTTTTAACCTACTTGGGAGCTACCTGAAGGATTGACACAAGATGCTCATCTCTGTTTCACTTAACTCCTAACTCACTCAGTCCAGAAAAGCAAATTATATCTCTGATAAGAATTTAAATCCAGAATATATTTAACAACAAAAGACAACCCAATTCAAAAATAAGCAAAGTATTAGAGATTTATTCAAAGAAGATAGACAGTAGGCAATTAGCACATGAGAAAAACACTCAACATCATTAGTCATTAGGGAAATTGCTAGGATAAGCTATAATAAAAATAATGGAAAATAAATGTTAGTGAGCATGGAAACAAATTGGAACCCTTAGACATTGCTGGTAGGAATGTAAAATGGTGCAAGCACTATGGAAAACAGTTCGGCGGTTCTCAAAAAGTTATACAATTACCATGTGATTTAGTAATTCCACCCCTTGGTAGATACCCACAAGGATTGAAAACTGAGACTTAATCAGGTATTTGTACACTAGTGTTTAATGCAGCATTATTCATTATTCATAATAGCCAAAAGGTGGAAACAATCCAAATGTCCATCAACAGATGAATAGATAAACTTTGGTGTGTGTGTGTGTGTGTGTATAGTGGAATATCATTCAGTTATGAAAAGGAATGAAGTTCTGATACGTGCTACAATATGGTTGAACCTTGAAAACAATATGTTAAGCCAGACACAAGAGGATAAATACTGTATAATTCCACTTATGTGAAATAACTAGTACAGGTAAATTTATAGAGACAAAAAGTAGTTAGAGGTTACCAGGTATTGGGGAAAGGGAGGAATGGGGAGTTACTACTTAAATGAGTACATTTCTGTTTAGAATTATGAAAAATTTCTGGAAATAGTGATAGATGGTTGTAGAACATTCTGAATGTAATTAACACCACTGAATTGTACACTTAAAATAGTTAAAAATGACAAATTTTTGTTTTATGTATTTTACCACAATAAAAAAGTTAAAGGATTAAAAAAAACCCAAATTTACAGGTTTAGCTAAAGCTGTTACTCAAGAGTAATTTATAATCTGAAATGACTAATAGAAATGAAGGCTCCATCTGGAATTATTAGAAAATGAACAGCAAATTTCCATCTGGCATGATTACGAAAAGAATGTAGAAGAACAATAAGAGCAGAAACAAATACATTAGAATGTTAGCATAAAGTAGAATCAAAGCCAAGACTTGTGCCTTTAAAAAGGCTAATAAAATTGACAACCCCTGACAAGAATGATAAAGTATAAGAGAGAATGCATGAATAACCAATTTTAGGAATGGATGATAGTACATCACTATACATCATACAAATATTTGCTAGATGGTAGGATATTGTGAACAATTTGATACAAATAAATTTGGAAATTTAGATAAATTCGTAAATAGAACATTTTACCAAACTGACTGGCACAAGTAGTAGCAGAAACCTATAATTTTATAATTAACCTTGTTCACAAAGAAACCTTCATGGCTAGTTGGTTGGTGAATTTTACCAAACACTCAAATAAGAACACCAGTCTCACATAGGTTTGCAGAGTGGAAAAAGAGGGAACACTTCCCAGTTGATTTTAATAAGATCAGTACCTGAATAGGATAAAAAAATTATAGACTGTTTCTCTTGAATTTAGCTACTATAATTTGAAATTAGTATCAAAGCCACTGGCATGTGAGAAAGATATTACATCTGACTAAATTTAACTTATCCTAGGAATACAAAGTTGGTTTAACTAGAAAATCAATAAATGTAATGCATCCCATTAACAGAATATAATAGAAAAACTATATGAGAAGAAGCCAATTGATATAAATCAACATCACTCTAAGATTAAAAAAAAGGATTAGGAAATTAAGAATAAAATGGAGTTTACAGTAACATCATACTTAATGGCAAACGTTAAACACTTTATTAAGAAGACAGGGATGCTTGCTATAATACCTTGTACTAATCTTTGTATTGGACATACTAGCCAGTGCAATAATGCAAGAAAAGTAAATGAAAGGTGTTAGGATTGGCAGTAAAGAAATAAAACTTTAATTATTCCCAGATGATATGATTGTGTATGTAGAAAATGCAAAAGAATCTATGTATAAATTTATAAGTTCAGCAGTGTTGTTGGATGTGAAGTCAATATGCATTAACTGTATTTCTGTAAATTAGCAACAATTAGAGAATGAAATTTTTAAAATAATTTGTACAAGAGCATAAAAAATAAATACCTAATGAAAGAGCTATAAAACCTCAACACTGAAAGAAAACAAAAATAAACCATTATTAATAGTTTTTAAAAACAGAAATAATTGGAAGGATATACCATGTTTATTGAAGACTCAGTATTGTGAACATGTCAGTACTCTCCAAACTGATTTATAAATTCAGTATAATCCTAATCAGAATCTCAGCCATTATTGTTTATTGTGACACTTGACAAGCTGATTCTAAAATGTATATGGAAATGCAAAGTACCAAGAATGGCTAAGATGATCTTTAAGAAGACCAAAATTGGAGACTTATTCTCTAGGATATGAAAAATTATTATAAAGCTACAATAATTATGATAGTGTGGTTTTAGCACAGAATAAATAAATGGGTCAATGGAATAGAATGGAGCAGATCTTCTCACCCAGAAAATTTAAACCCTAATGGCCTAAGGCATCTGTTATCTGTAATGAGTTAACTGACCTCCTATCAGTCTAAAACAATACCAACTATATGCTATGAGAAAATTAAAATATAGGTTCTCAGTCTTCTGTGGGGCTTAATTCTCTTATGGAACCCCAGTTGAGGAAGGATGGGATATATTAAAAAACAGATCCATGCATAGATGCACACCTCAACTTCATGACAGTGCAGAGCACTGTGATTGGCCTGGTGCTGCAGAACATTCAGAAATGGACAGTTTTATAAAATGGTACTGGATCAATTCAATAGCCATATGTACAAAAATGAGCTTGATTTTCACCTCACACTACATACAGAAATCAATTCTTGAATGACTGTAGTCTAAAAGTCAATGGTGAAACAAAGTTTTGAGAGACTAATATAAGAAAATACCTTTATGTGTGTGCAGTAGGCAACATTTCTTAAAACAGGACACAGAAATCATTGACAATGAAGAAAAAGATTGGTGAATTAGAATACTTCTTTTCATCTAAAGAAACCACGGTGGGAGTGAGTACAGACTGGAATGAAATATTTCCAATGCATATAAGCAACAAAAGACTTCTATCAAGAATATATAAAGAACTTCTATGCAACAATAAGAAGTAGACAATTTAGTCTAAAAATGGGCAAAAAAATATTGAACAAAAACTTCACAGAAGATGTAGAAAGGACTCAAACATATGAAAAGGTCTCAGTTTCATTTTAATAATAGGGAAACAAATTAAAACCCCAGTGATAGATTACACACCGCAAGAGTGGTTAAATTGAAAAAGAATGACAAGACCACAGAGTGCTGCTGGGATGTGTAGCGGTGTAAGCGCTCTGAGTGCAAAGCTGTGCAAAGCACTGGAAAGGTGGCATTTTCTCTTCTACATTTGAATACAGCCTACCTGTGACTCAGAAATTTCATTCCTAGGTATATAGCCAATAGAAATGTGTGTACTTGTCCTTCAAATGAAGGTCATTTATTTGCATGTTAGTTATTTGGAATTTGATGCACTTTTTTTTGGAGAAGTGATATATATTGTGATTGGGTTCATACATTGGTTTACAAATATTAATACCTAACTCTTAACAAAAACCCTTGTAAATATATCGCAGCCTGTCAGAGTAAAATATATAGACTAACTTAGAAACTTAATCCTCATTTATTATTTTTATGAAAGAAAGCAATCTTGTGTCATATACATTTACATCTACAACAGGAAGGGCAAGAAGGACACATCGCAACACCAAGAATAGCTCTCCTCTTACCCGTGATGACTGTCTCTTTGGAGGTATAGGGTACTTGTAAGTTGTTTATAATTAGGTGAGTGCCTCTGTTCTAGTAAGAATTAAGATGTGTTCGGGGCACCTGGGTGGCGCAGTTGGTTAAGCATCCGACTCAGCTCAGGTCGTGATGTCAGGGTTGTGAGCTCAAGCCCTGCATTGGGCTCCAGGCTCAGTGCAGAGTCTGCTTCAGACTCTCCCTCTACTCCCTACCCCCCCCCCACTCTCTCTCTCTAAAATAAATAATCTTAAAAAAAAGAATTAATTTGTGCATCCAAGTAACATCTAAGGACCCTTCCAACTCAGAATTCTCATATTCAGAATTCTGGCACATTAAAATGAAAAGTTGTATATGGCATTTTGTTTTCCACTATAGCTAGGGAAGGGATAGATTCAAAAGCAGTTTAGAGATTATCTGAGGGCAATCCTCATTTTTAACGGATAAGCAAACAAGCCCAGAAAAGTGAAGCAAACTTGCCCATGGTCATTCCTCTTCATCATCATCATCAAAAAATAGTTACCATTCATAGAGTGTTTACTACGTAACAGGTACTTTTCTAAGCTTTTTATAGGCATTAACTAATTCCCATAGCTAACCCTTCTACAGATCACAAAACCGAGGTATAAAATTTAAGTTACTCGCTTTAAACCACTCCACTCTAGTTCTTTTAGCTCGATAGCATTGGTAGCTGGACAGAAGTTTTAACCAATATTGATAAACCATCTTCTCTCTGAGTCATACTCTGGCAAAAGGTTTTTAGTGATGATTATTGGAAATAAAAGGGTTGTTTTGTCTGGAAAATTAATTATAATGCCTCATTTCATATGCATTCTGATTTTTCTTTGTGTGAAGGGAGGAAAGGATATTGTTTTCAAGATACTTAATAATATCACAGACCTGTACCTCTGAAACAATACATTATATGTTAAAAAAAAAAAAAAAAGAAATCAGGAAGGGAAGAGTGAAGGGGGAAAAATCAGAGGGGGAGACGAACCACGAGAGACTATGGACTCTGAGAAACAAACAGGGTTCTAGAGGGGAGGCGGTGGGGAGGACGGGTTAGCCTGGTGATGGGTATTAAAGAGGGCATGTACTGCATGGAGCACTGGGTGTTATACGCAAACAATGAATCATGAAACACTACATCAAAAACTAATGATGTGATGTCTGGTGATTAACGTAACATAATAAAAAAAAATACCAAAAAAAAATATCTTTTACATTTAGAAAAAAGTTCTTTTAAATTTCAGATATAGACCTTTAAAATAGTAAGAAATATGGTCCTCAATTTTAAATTTCTGTCTTTTTTTTAAACAGTATTGAGCTCAGAGAATTGGAGAAGAAATTAAAAGCAGCTTACATGAATAAAGAAAGGGCAGCTCAGATTGCAGAGAAGGATGCCATTAAATACGAACAAATGGTAATCATGTTTATGTTTTCTATATTTTTAGCTTCATTTAGAAAACCAAAAATAGACCAATTTTGTGAAAATTGTCACATACTATAAAGAATTTACACTGCTAGGTTTCTTAAATACTTTTATACTTTTCAGATCCTTAAGGCACAGGAACTCATAGATTATTTAATAGTGAGCCTTGTTTAACTTAATATTAGAGCCTTTTGGAGACACAGAGAATGAGGTTGCTGTTTAGAATGAATAGCTATACTCAGTAAGTCTAAGCATTCCTTGTGGTCTCTTACTGATCATTCTTTGGCAAATCAATACAGTACAAGTTGTTAGTGTGATCAATAATATTTTAGAATGTTATTAAATTTTGTACTTGTTAAATGTTTTAAAAATTAAAATATTTTATAATTTTAGGCAGGAAACTTGCCTGTTTTTTAAGTAGCTACCTCTTTTCTCCTGTTTCTATTTTTATCCCCTTTTCTAACTCCTGACCTAACTGCCAAGTTCAGGGCAAGAGTTAATCTTGGGCAAAGGAGTTTCAGACACATTTACCTGTGATGGTATACAGTAAATGTAGAATTGGGTTTATTGAGTTAACACTTCAAACCATTATACCATCACTTGAGCCCTCATGGTCCCGTGGAAAGGCTAGATGTAGATGAAAAGGTCTGACTGCAATATTACATGGTCTTGTAAGTTCTTTTCTCTTGTTTCTCTATTATTATGTAGAGCATTTTGGTGGTAGAATTTCCTCTTTCCTAGATCCCTTTCAAAGATGTCATACAGCTGTTAAAGGGAAGAGGTAGAGGTAAATGTTCTGGCTTTTAAAGTTGGTCTGAATATATTACAGGTTAAAAAGAAAAAAGCAAGCTGCAGAAAAATCAAGTTGGAGAGTAATACATATCACAGACCATTTTTATTTTTTAAACCTTTATGTGTACATCAACCTATGTGTAGATATCAACATACACACGTTCACACACACACATACAGTTAGAGAAATAATATCAAAATACTTAACCAGCGCAGTGTGATAGAGGCATCTAATACGATGAGATGCTGGCCCTAGCGATCTGTGTATGCGTGTGTGTTAGTATAGGAAAAGTCTGGAGCATTGCACAGCCAGCTACTGACTGGGATTGTCTTTGCTGAGATGGGTTGTAGCAGAGAATGAGGAGACTTCATTTCCTAAGCCATGTAGTTCTTTTCTAAGCTTGCAAAAATAAAGTAGAACATAAACAATGTACTCTCTGGCTAGTAGCTTGCAGTTTTACCCTGATTCTTGAGGTTTCTCAAAGCAATTGTACATTTTAATCTGACTCCTTAAAGAATTGCCGCTATTTTCTAAATAAAATTGGTCCATAAAAATTAAACTCAAATAGTCCTAGATCTTGACTAGGTGTCGAGATATCTAGGTGCCAGTTTGGGCTCTGTCTTTCTGAGCTTTAGCCTTATCTGTGAAATGAAAATATTGTATTTCTATGTGTACAGCAATGTATACAAATGTTTTTATCATTTCACATTTTTTTAAAGAACCTAGTACAGCATGTGATAAGAAAATAGAAGCAGAGAAAGAGTTTTGGTCAAGTCATATTAATATTGTATGTGGTAAAGGCTTCAATTAGATCAGGAAGGGCATTCAGCATTCATATTTTAATCTGTTTCTTCTTGTCTATTTGATGCTGTTAACCATTCTAGTGTTTGAATTGTGATCATAATGGTAAAAGGTAATAAAAATTGCCTCAATATATTTAATTTACAACTTATTTGGTTAATGATTTCAAAATGCTCAAAACAAATAAGGGGTTTAACCTAGTTAAGAAGCAAGATTGTCTCTAACTCAGAGGGAATGGTCTTGAATGAGTGAATTAAAAGCCACAGAAAACAGACACAGTGGTATATATGACTCTTTTGAGTTAAAGTGATTATAAAGGGCATTTGATAAAAGAGAAATGACAGACTTCAAAGGCAAGAAACAAAGTTTAGGCTGGGAGAAACATAAGAGTTGCTCAGAGCTGTTTAATAGTAGACCTGTCTGAAAAAGAGTCCCGTCCTTGCTGTAAATGGCAGCTGATACACAGGGGAGCTAAGAATTGCCTGTATCAACTTTTAAATAAAAGAAAAAGAGGACTGCTGCTTTTTAAACATAGTATTAATAAAGTACTTCTAATTTTATTTGCTGTTTTTCAAATGTGGAGTTATCAGTTATCCTTATCCTGTATTTCCTTGAGACCTACTTGAAGGAATGGGAAAGCCTCTTTAGGGTTTGACTCATCATTCAAACCCTTCAGGTGACAGTAACTTTCCTTAGCTTTTTATCTTGACAGATGAAAATATTTTATGCAATAGGCTGTATAATATTCCATTACATCTGTTTTGAAATATTCTATTATACTGTGCTCACATTTGAAAACGGAAAGATGAATTTTGTTTTAATAACAGAAACGTGATGCTGAAATAGCTAAAACCATGATGGAAGAACACGAGAGAGCAATAAAGGAAGAAAGTGCTGCAGAAGACAAACGGAATAAAGTAAAAGCACAGTATTACCTTGACTTAGAGAAACAACTTGAAGAACAAGAAAAGAAAAAGCAGGAAGCGTATGAGCAGTTACTAAAAGAGAAACTCATGATTGATGAAATTGTTAGGAAAATCTATGAAGAAGATCAATTGTAAGTTTATCCCAGCTTCTTTACATGCCTAAACATTGAGATTCGATTTATCTTAAGCTTGTTTTGAAGACGTAAAGCAACTGAACAGTGCCTAGTACATAGTAAGTCCTCAATAAATGTTACAATCATATAAACTGAGATCAACTCCTGTTTATCTTTGTAAGCATGATAATTACCTGATAACAAATGCTTATTAAGTAACAGAATGATTAAACCTTTGTTTTGTTAAATATTCCCATATTGTGTCAGAGGACTTGTATTCTGATCATTTATTTGCTAGACAGCTAAAGTGGAGAGTGCTGCTAGGCTTATGTAAACAGATTGTTGGCCTTTCTGAGATGGATGCATAAAACTTCATTAACAGTTTAGAGGAGAGGTATAAGTAGTATTTTACTCAGAATATTCATACCTGTCATTTATATTTAGCGGCACATAGTGGATACTCAAAATGTTTGTGGTATTAATGAATGAATAAACTATAAGTAGAAAAGCTGTGGGGTGCCTGGGTGGCTCTGTCAGTTAAGCATCCGACTCTTGATTTTGGCTCGGGTCATGATCTCAGGGTTGTGAGATCGAGCCCCATGTCAAGCTTCACGCTCGGTGGGGAGTCTGCTTGAGATTCTCCTTCTCCCTCTGTCCCTCCCCCTCCTTGTGCTCCCTCACTCTCTCTCTCTTAAATAAAGAAAGAAATAAAAAGAAAAGCTGTTTTGCCCACATTATTATCAACTGAAGGAAATGACACATTTTTCAATATTATTTCTGTTACTATAAAACGACACTCACTATTGCTTTTTAGGGAAAGACAACAAAAGTTAGAAAAAATGAATGTAACTCGAAGGTATATAGAAGAGTTTCAGAAAGAGCAGGCTCTCTGGAGAAAGAAGAAACGTGAGGAGATGGAAGAAGAAAATAGAAAAATCATCGAATTCACCAACATGCAGCAACAAAGAGAAGAAGATCGGATGGCAAAAGTTCAAGAAAATGAGGAAAAAAAGCTACAGCTTCAGAACATGGTATTAAAATAACCACTTCTTTAACATTAGAGAAATTCTGAAATAATTGTTATTGAATTTGTTTCCTGTTAATGTTTGTGTGTTTCTTTAAAAATTTAATAGCTGACTCAGAAATTGGAAGAAATGCTACAGCAACGTGAAGATTTGGAACAAGTGCGACAAGAATTATACCAGGAAGAACAAGCTGAAATACATAAGATGAAGCTAAAAGTAAGTTTTCCAAATGGAAAGAATGATTAACATAGAGAAGAATATCATTTTGAGATGAAGCGGGAGAAAAATGGTAGATCTAAACCCAACATAATTACATTATGTATAAATACTAAAATTAGGGGTGCCTGGGTGGCTCAGTCGGTTAAGTGTCTGCCTTTGGCTCAGGTCATGATCCCAGGGTCCTGGGATTGAGTCCCGCATCCAGCTCCCTGCTCCCTCCCTCTGCCCCTCCCCTGCTTGTGCTCTCTCTCCCTCTCTCTCTAAGTAAATAAAAGCTTTTAAAACAAAACAAAAACCCACTAAGAAGAAAAATTTTCAGGCTGGATAAAAAAAGCTAGACCTAGGCAGCAGTTAACAAACAGCATAAAAGGCGTGATTCAACTGTCTTATCTATAAGAAACACAATTTAAAGGAAGACATATAGTTCAAAAACAAAAGGATGGAGAGAGATATACTAAACACTAATCAAAAGCAAGTTAGGGTGGAAATCATGATGCTAATAAGGGTAAATTCATCTAGAGGATATAACAGCCCTAAAGGTGGATGAACCTAAATAAAGCTTCAAAATGGATGAAATAAAACTGAAAGGAGAAAGAGACAAATCTGTAATTATAGTTGAGAATTTCAATATTCCTTCTCAACAGAATATAGTGTTGAATAATATATCCTGACCTCAAGTCAGGATGACTTGCCAATTTTCTAATTGGGTTGCTTATTCATTTATTGTAGAGTTTTGAGAGTTCTTTATGTATTCTTTTGTCAGGTCTTTTGTCAGGTGTGTAGGTTTACATATATTTTCTCTTAGTCTGTAGCTCGTCTTTTCATCTTCTTAACAGGGTCTTTCTCCAAGCAAATGTTTTCAGTTTCTGTGAGGCCCAGTTTACCAATTTCAATTTTTATAGATTATAATTTGACATCAATTCTAGGAAGTTTTTGCCTAAATCCTGAAGAATTTTTTTTTCTAAAACCTTTTTACTTTTACATTTATATCTGTGATCTGCTTTTGGTTTTTCAAGTTCACCGACTTTTAATATCAGCTTTCTTGAAGTATAATTGACATATAAAATTATAAGATATTTAGAGTATACATTATGGTGATTTATGTCTACCTTGGGAAATGATTCTCTCCATCTAGTTAATTAACATCTATCACCTCACATATTTATCTTTTTGATGAGAGCATTTAAGTTCTCCTCTCAGCAAATTTCAGTTATACAATACAGTATTATTAACTATAGTCATTATGTTTTACATTAGATCCTCAGACCTTACTCATCTTATAGCTGAACTTTGTACCCTTTTACCAACCTCTTCCGATTTCCCCTGCCCTCCAGCTTATTAATTCTGTCTTATTATATACAAAAATTAAATGAATGAGACAAAAAAACTGAAACTACAAAATTTCTAGAAGAAAACATAGCAGAAAGACTTTATGACCTTGAGAAGGGTGAAGATTTTTTAGTAGGCTAATAAAGGCATGATCCATAAAGGAAAAAGTTAGAAATTAGGTTTCATCAAAACTAATAACTTCCTAACACTTAGGAAAATGTAAATGTAAGCCACAGTCTGGGAAACAGTATTCCCTACATTTTTTTTTTTTAAATTTTATTATGTTATGTTAATCACCATACATTACATCATTAGTTTTTGATGTAGTGTCCCATGATTCATTGTTTGTGTGTAACACCCAGTGCTCCATGCAGTACGTGCCCTCCTTAATACCCATCACCGGGCTAACCCATCTCCCACCCCCCTCCCCTCTAGAACCCTCAGTTTGTCTCTCAGTACATCATTAGTTTTTGATGTAGTGTTCCATGACTCATTGTTTGCATATAACACCCAGTGCTCCATTCAATACGTGCCCTCTTTAATACCCATTCCCTACATGTATCTTACAAAAAACTTTTTATTCAGAATATAGAAAGAATGCTTATAACTCAATAATAGGATATAAAGAACCCAGTTTTTTTTCATGAACAAGAAGTCTAAACAAACATTTCATAAAACAAATATATGAATAGCCAATATACAATAAATTGTTAGCTATTAGTATTATTTTCAATATTTTTCAGCTGTATCAAAACAGATTTTAGATAATACTGTTTTATCAGTGAGGAGGAAACAGATACCATAGTATTGATATCAAAGCCAATTGCATGTATATTCTTAATGATTAACTGCATATAAGAATGTAAAATATGTACATTTCTTTTTAAAAACAACTTAATGTAATCAATTTATATATATCTAATATCAAATTACCCAAAAAAGTTAAGAATAAAATGATGGATGAAGGCATAACAGGTATATATGAACAAATGAAGCAGACAGGCAAGGTCATCATCCCATAAGTAGAACATCAAATGAATCCCAGATATTACAGATGAAAGGTATAATTGATAATGAAGGTTTTACAGAATAAACATTTAATTTTCTATGAAACATTACATTGAAGTATGTAACTTTAAAAGCTATTAAATCTCCAAAGAAAATTTACCAGAATAACACAAGGGGAAATTGTGTTTAACACCACTATATTTTCATCTTTTAACTGAAAATCTAAAAATACTCTTTTCAATTATTGGTTGAAGAGGAAATCTGCAGGTAATTAAGAGGATGAGATTACTACATATCAAAATCTTATCAGATTTATAAAACTGATCTCTGAGGCAATTAATTATTAAACAAGAAACACTGGTAAAACTTACCTAGGCAGCCAATTCAGTAACTTAGATAACAATACAAATTCAAGTATGAGGCAAGAATATGGAAGGAAATCATAAAGATACAAGTGGAAATTTTCTAAAAGTCAGGAAAACACATTAGCATTAATTAATCCAGTTACTTAGTATTGGGGGGCAAAGCTTATACTCTGCAAAAACATACTAAAAGAGAAAAGCAAAACCAAAACGAGAAGGACTAAAGGGTCTATAAATGAAAAAGATTAGAAAATAGTGAAAGGTGGGGTGCCTGGGTGGCGCAGTCAGTTGAGTGTCCGACTCTTGGTTTCAGCTCATGGGATCTCTGGATTGTGAGATCGTGAGATGGAGCCCCACACTGGGCTTCATGCGTAGTGTGGAGTCTGCTGAAGATTCTCTCTCCCTCTCTCTCTGCCCTCCCCCCTCCACTCTAAAATAAATAAATCTTTTTAAACAAATAGTGAAAGCGTCATTCAACTGTATACTCCTAAAATGGGAAAAATATTCATGGCACAATCTTCTGCATTAAAAATATAGTGATTTCAAAAAATGTGGAAAAAGCAGGCAAAATAAGATCACTAAGGATATATCCTATATGCAGAGCTTTTCGTGGCCTGCCTCATACCCTCTTAGCCCCACATTTGATTTCAGTGATAGCTGTGGAGAACGCTTGTGGGGGCTTACACTGACTCTGCTGACAGCTTCCTCAAGTGTGGTGGTGGGGGGGGCTGGGAGTTAACACCCTCTGGGGCATCCGTCAACCAACAGGGGACAGAAATTAAGGGCTGAATGCTTCTTCCTGTCAGCCTTTGGGACAGACTTGAAAGGTGCTCCACACATTCCTCACAAGGTCCTGGCAGGATTAAGCCACAGCTGCCCACATAGTAACCAGGTCAGTGATGCCCCCATATTTTGGCTTTTCTTCCTTCCCTATTTCTCTCTGCTTGTCCCTCACTGCTGCTTCCTGAGTTCTTCTCCCATAAATATGTATACACAAATATTTGTCCAAGGCTCTGCTTTCAGAGGAGAACCCAGACCAAGATACCTCTAAAAGTTTACAGGCTCAGAGTTAGTTTTATAACAAATTATTTCAAACTTTCAGTGAATAGCTATTTCTTTTTTTTAAAGAGTTTATTTATTTGACAGAGAGCAGGAGAGACAGCGAGAGAGAGCACAAGCAGGGGGAGCAGCAGAAGCAGAGGGAGAAGCAGACTCCCCACTGAACAGGGAGCCCGATGTGGGGCTCGATCCCAGGACCCCGGGATCATGACCTGAGCCGAAGGCAGACGCTTAATGACTGAGCCACCCAGGGGTCCCTGAATAGCTATTTCTTAAACCACAATATGGGTTGTAAAATTATGTAGTCCCTATTACATATATATATAAAATCCTGATCCAGACAGATCAAAAGTTCAGGAATATTTTTCTAGTAGAAAAAAAATAATGAACTGTGTTTTGTTTTGTTTTGTTTTGCTAACACTTCCCTGATTTTTAGCCAGATGTCTTTACCACTGATTGGATCAAACTAAAATTTGTATGGGAGATGGATGCCAGGAGATGTCAACAGTTCATTTGGTTCAATGTGTGTTTTCTCTGTGCAAGGTATTATGATAAGCTCTGGAGGAATTCTAAGCTGAGACCATATCTGCCTTCATTGGGCCTTCTGACTTGTATATCTTACATGGGAACACAAACTATAATATCATAAAAACACCGTGGCCAGCATCCCAAAGTAAAATAATAGATATGATATATAAAATAATAAAAAAAATATGCCCTGTAGGAATTTATTCTTAAGTGAGGAGATAAGGCATGGCCATATGAAATAAAATTAAATGTTGGGAAAATTCAATGGTATCAAAGGTCCAAAAGACAGATATGTAGGAATTAGAGTGATTAGAAAAGGCTTTCTGGAGATGGGATTTGAACTCATTAGATAGAGTTAAGTGAGGAAAAAGAGGTTGAATATTCAAGATAATGAAAAGGTTACTATAACTGATATTCCAAATTGACTCACTTAAAACCCACTCCTATCCTTTTTGTCTTACTTTATTATAAAGACTATAAAGTTGAAACCACATTTCTCTTCTTTTAGCTAGAATTATTCACAGGACCTAAGTTATCTCCCAAGTTATCCCTCCACCTCAAGGTGTGAAGATAGAAGTGGGCAAAGTGAGGTTGCAGTCACCGTAGACGACTGGATCATGGGGTGTAGTTTTGGTAGAGTTATTATCATGGAATTTGAGCCATTACCAAAAATAGATGGTAACCAAGATGGCAGCTGGTTCCCTGGCCCTCTTGGAGGTTCTCTATGCCTCCTGCTGGCCTGTGGTAAATCCCTTATAGTTTGTGTTACCTATAAAAGCCCTGCCCCTACAGCTGTTGTTAAGGCAGTATTTTGAATGCCCTGAGGATACGGCTTACCTCCTGGAAATTGTGTTAGAATTAGGCATGGCTGGTTACAGTTGAGAAGGAATTAAAATTTACATCAGTCCTAATCGGATAGACAATAAAGCAAAGTAGTAAAGGTGTGCAAGGCATTGCACAAAAAATGTAAACATTTTTCAATTATGTTTGAAATTTTTTATTAATGAAATGTTAGGAAAATTAAAGCTTGTAGGAAAAGACTTTAACTGCGCCAAGTAAATTTGAATTTTCCCAAGAAACTTGTGATTGTCATTTCTAGATTATTATTCTGAAAAATATTTACCAGTGATTTGAACCACAGTTTCAGGCAAGATTCTAGAATGATCCTAGGGGGTACAAATTTCACAGACCACAGATTTAATAACTTCAGGTGTGCAAAAAAGTTTTTATATCAGCTCCTTCCAAAATATATACAAATTAAAATTTAAAAATAAAAGAAGGCAATCCAGAGGTAACATGTCCTTTATCCCAACGAGTCTTAAAAGGATGGGGAAAAGTGTCATCTTGAAAAGGCTTAATTTTTCAGTTTTATTTCATCTTGTAACACTGCACTCAAGCAAATTCTGTCCACCCTTTCTTTATGAATCTGCTGTAAAGAAACAGTTACTGAATTAATGTTACATGGATTGTTGTTTAGGAGGAAGCAGAAGAGAAATTGAGAAAGCAAAAGGAGTTGAAGCAAAATTTTATAGAACAAATGGCCCTGAAGGAATTAGTACTCCAGGCTGCAAAAGAGGAAGAGGAGACCTTTAGAAAGGCAATGCTAGCTAAGCTTGCTGAGGATGATCGGATAGAACTGATGAATACTCAGAAACAAAGAATGAAGCAACTAGAACACAGGAGGGCTGTGGAAAAACTCATTGAAGAGCGTCGCAACCAGTTCCTTGCGGACAAAGTAAGAAAAAGTGTTCTTTTTTGTTATTGTCACTGAACCAACAATCAGCTGCTCATCTGTTTCTCCACTAAACATTTAACTGAGACCCTTGTATGTGCCAGATGCTGTTAGATATCTGTTTACTAATTATATGGTGTAGATATTTTTTGACCAATCATTTATTAATGCATCTAGAATATATTTATTGATGCTTTCTATGTGCTACACACTGGTTGGCTGGTGTTGAGAACATAAATACAACTAAGTCCACAATATCTATGAGTTTATGGTCTTGGTTAAAGAAAATATATAAAAGCAATCATTATAAAGACAGGCCAAGTACATGTGATAAGAATCACAAAGGTACGGGCATCTTGGTGTGGTAGAGAGGACACAGGTCACGAATGCACTGGGTGCTATTTTAGGGAAAGTGACTTTATCCAGAGGTACCCACTGAAGAATTAGGTAAGCCACACAGTAAGTTCTGCCCTTGGAAAGATGACTTGAGGAGGGGTACTGGGGGGAGACATGAGGGGAGTAAGACAGGAGACTGGGAGACCAGTTGGGACGTTACCATGGTAAGTCTGTCATAGGTGGGGGAAGGCTGTGCAGATGGAGAAGGCGCCATCTGAGATAGGAGGGAGATAGACTCAATGGCGCTTGGTGGCCGGTTAGGTCCAGAGCGGGGAGAGGATTATGGCTGCTGCTTCTGCTAAATAATACTGTTGCTCCAGCTTCAGTGAGGGGGTAAGGTCCTAGCGAAAACAAAGAGAAGTAGATTTCAAGGGGGGAGATAATTCCATCTTGTCCGCATTGATTCTGAGGCCCCAGGGGGAGATTTCTTAGTTGGCAATGTAGATTTCAGAGTTGGAGAGGGAACTAGGTTTGTGCCTTTGGACACATTGATTTCTCTATTTTATGTTTCATTCATAAACCTGAAATAATACTTAGATAATCTGCCTCACTAGTTCGTTGAGCTTTGAGAACCAAATAAGATAATATATAAGTGGTTTGTAAACATAAACAGCTCTAAATATGAAGAGTACAGACTAGGCATATGGTACATATTTTTAATTAAAAGAAGTGGTAGCGATAACAATGAACATTTACTGAGCGTTTACATGTTTCATTCGCTATTCTAAGCTCATTACAAGCAAAGTGGTAACTTTAAACTTTCAACCTATGAGTTAGGTACTGTTCTACCGCTATTTTAAGGATGTGGAAACTGAGGCATAGAGAGATGATATATATATTGCTCAAGGTTTCACAGCAAGTGGCAGAGTGGGGATTAATAAATTAACTATTGTAATGAAGACCTTTTTCTGTATGGGTGGACAGGAAGAAATCTCGAGATATTCTTATAATCAACAGATACTGACCTGCTAGGCATTCTGCTGAGTGTTGGTGACGGAACCAAAATAAATAAAAGTTAATTCTGGTAGCTTCTAGGGTAGTGCAAAAAATAGGTCCCAAAAGACTCGATTATATATAAAATTATACTAAGAATACATTTCTTAAATGTACAATGTAAACATTTATAGAATTTGGTAGTTGTAATTTACTAGTTGTGCAATACAGTTGACCCATGAACAGCACAGGGCTTAGGGGTGCTGACCCCTCCCCCAGTCAGAAATCCACATTTAACTTTTGACTCCCCCAAAACTTAACTAATAGCCTACTGAGGACCCGAAGCCTTACTGATAACATAAAGATTCAATTAGCACTTATTTTATATATGTATTACATCCTGCATTCTTACAGTAAGCTAGAGAAAACATTTTTAAGAAAATCATGAGAAAATACATTTATAGTACTGTATTTATTGAAAAAAAAAATACGGGTACAGGGACCTGTGCAGTTCAAACCTGTGTTGTTCACTGGTCAACTGTACATTTATGGTGGAACCATGTGGGTTTACCTGGAAATACATAAAAGATGAATAAAAGCAGAAGGCTTTTCTAAGTTGGCAACATATGGAATTACCACAATGAGAAATTTGAATGATAGGCAAAGAAGTTTAGATATGATACAATAGGAAATTAGTGATCATAACATGGTCTTTAGCAAGAGGAGAAGGTAGTAATTCAAGAAAGAGGTGATGAGGACCTGGAATAGGTTCACAGAGCAGTGGAAGAAGCAAGAAAGGGAAGAGTTTAATATTTTGAAAGGAAGAGGAGACTGGTATGACTTTTTTGGACCATGTAGGGTAGAGTGGAGGAAGGAGTCAAAATAACTCCAAGGTTTCAAATATGAGAAACTCAAAGAATACCAAGTGCTGTTATGTTTTGAGGTGGAACAAAAAGATACAATTACTTCAGTTTTAATCATGGTGGGTGTGAAAGAGAAATGCAAATTGAAAATATCCTGAAGGCAGTTGACCCAGAGGAGCAAAACTTAGGTCAGATTTTCCTAGAAATACATATCTGGCATTAAGTAGCACAGAGAGAGAGGTTCAAGCTAAGATGATTCCTCCAAAGAATATATTATGAGAAACAATAAGGGGGCCAATCAAGTCTTGGTGAACATTCTTATTTGGGAGTAGGAGGAGGAGGAAAAAAACAATGACAAGACCAAGAGATGGTTAGAAAAGCAAAAGAATCTGGATGGTATATCACAGAAAACCAAAAGAGATCAGCTCTGTCTTTTGCCTGCTCCATGAGGTGTTGGGATACTTTGGTTCTCCTCTATGCTTACTTACTTCATGCCATAGTTCTGTTGCCATACTTCCAGATGTCTAAATGACATAGTTGGAAATCTTGTAGGTGGCCTTAGAATTTAGGTTTCCAAAAGTAAACATTCCAGACAAACCTTTTCCAATTTCTGTAGCCTGACTCTTGGTTAAAGACCACATATTCAGTCGGTCACCCATGTCTATGACCTTGGAATCATTCCTGGATTTTTACCCATTCTGATTCTAGTAATTTTTAGTCAGCCACCAAATTCTATTGACTTCACCTCAGCAATAAGTCTTAAATCCAGTTTCTTTTCTTCATAACTTAGTTCAGACATTTAATATCATTCCTGCGGACTACTGAAATGGTCATCTACTTTTCTCCAGTCCATCTGCGGCTAGTTACTATGGGTTTAAAAAAACTCATTATGTCTTCCTCCTGCTTAAACTTAAGTGGATTGCGGCATTAATTCCCAATTCCTTAGCTTTGATATAAACCAATCATGATTTACTCTAACCTTTAAAAGGGTTAACCTATAAACACCTAGCATTTTGCCTAGCAAGTGGAAAATAATGTTTGTTGATTCAGTGAGGGTGATCAGCACTGTCAAATGAGCAGAGCAGTCAAGGAGGATGAAAATTAGAAGGCTTTTGAAACTGATCAGAAGGCTTTGAATACTCATTGCCTAGAAAGAGGTAGAAACAGTGACGAACCATCCCATCTCACGGCTTACAGGGCTAATTAGAAAGCTCCTAGAAAAGTTAGCAAGACAACTGAAAATGGAAATCAGATAAAACTACCTAAAGCCTAGATACTTCAAACAATTTGTCTTAATTTTCTCTGATGTAAATATTCCTAGTATGAAGCTGTGTCCTTCAAGTGTCCGTGAGATTGGTCACGTCCCAAGGGCAAGGGTAGATTTTTATGATCATGGAAAATATTAATCTATTCCTTTCTAATCCTATAAGGCTGTAACTACTTTTTAGATTTTAGAGGTATTCCTAAAATAGTATCTACAATTCTGTCTAGCTCTAAAAAATTCGTATGGTTAGTCAGACAAAAATCTGAAACTCCCCAGGAAATAGTTTCCTACTACCAGCTATGCAGACTTTGTCCTAAATGGACAACTGATTTCAGACTTTTCTAAACTCTTTATCCTAATGTACTATAAAAATGTTTATTAGGATATTTAATGTGTTTTACCACATCCTAAGAAGAGAAATCTTGTATTCTACCCAAATTAGAGACTACATCATTGGACAAAAATCTAACAAGTGAGCTTTCCTCACATCATAGAACTTTTTTGCATCTCCTTTTTGTAAGAAACAGATCAGTTAGGACTAGGTTTGGCTATAGGTACAGAGTACCAAATTAATAGTGGCTTAGTAGATAGGGGGAGTTTATTCTCCCACATAAAAGTCTAAAGATAGATAGGCAATTCAGGGCTGGATGGAGGCTTTTTCAGTCTTCAGGAACCAGGTTCAGCCTAGCTTTTCACTGTGGCTTCTACAGAGTAAAGTCTTTATCTTCATGGTCTAAGTTGGATCTTCACCCTTCATGTTTCAAGCGGCAGATGGGAAAGGTAAAGAAGGGACAAAGTGAGTATATGAGATTGATTCCCAGAATCTGCATATGATACTTCTGCTTATATTCCATTGGCAGAAACCAAGTCCTATTTTGACCACACCTGACTGTAAGGTAGCCTTAGAAATGTAGTCTCAAAAAGAAAATTCAGGTATAACGATTCCATGGCAGATTCTATTACCCTATTTGATCTTAGAGATAACATAAATAAGATCCACTCAACTCTTTGATTCAGGAACAAGATGGGTGAGAATGTCTTTTCTCAATTAGCTGTATCAATGCTGCTTCTGATTCTGTAATGCAGATCATATCATAGTCTACAAAATATTCTTATGAGAAGCAATTACAGGTTTAAGTGGCATTGGATATGGCTGTGTCCTAGCATCCTTCTTTAGCTTCATCTGGTAACTATGAAGAGTTATTAAGTTATGTAAAAGCTTGCCTCCCATTGTAGAAAAATAGACATACTCTTTTCTAGTTTGCAAGACTTTGACAAGGAGTGGTCTGAAGAAATGACCCTAAGAAACTATAGTTATTGCAAAGACAAGCTTAACATTAATACTACTTTAATTCTAGGTAGGAATTCACTGCTTCAATGGTCTGCCTTTAGCACCCTTCCCTTTCCAATAGGATTATTTGGGTACAGCTCTTTAAGAGTTCTTTTAAGCCCTAGAACTTTTTTAAAAAAATATTTTTTTAAAGCTTTTATTTGAGAGAGAGAATGAGAGAGAGAGCATGAGAAGGGGGGAGAGTCAGAGGGAGAAGCAGACACCCTGCAGAACAGGGAGCCCGATGTGGGACTTGATCCTGGGACTCCAGGATCATGACCTGAGCCAAAGGCAGTTGCTTAACCAACTGAGCCACCCAGGCGCCTCTAAGCCCTAAAATTTTTTAAAGCTGGTCCTCTCTTCCATAGTATATGGCACAGAAGTTTGGTGTGGTTATATAAGAGCATTCAGAACTCTCTCCTGAGAAACACTGGTTCTTCTGTTGGAACTCTTGCTGCTACTCTTGTGCTTCATACAGGCTCTTAAAAATCTTAACATATATGGAAATATTTACCTTTTAGATATCCCTATTCTGTTTTATCCAGCTTTTGTTTTACACTGTAAGCTGCCTTCAGCACTTGGCATATGGTAAACATTACAAAAATATGTGAATTAATTAGGAAATCCTTTCTTTGAAAATTTTTTCCTTGGTAAAGAAGATATTGTCCTAAAAATATATACTTGCCTCCCTGAAATCCCAGGCATGACTATTGCTTTTTTTTTTTTTTTAAGATTTTATTTATTTGACAGAGACACAGCGAGAGAGGGAACACAAGCAGGGGGAGAGGGAGAAGCAGGCTCCCTGCTGAGCGGGGAGCCTGATGTGGGGCTCGAACCCAGGACCCTGGGATCATGACCTGAGCCAAAGGCAGACGCTTAATGACTGAGCCACCCAGGCACCCCTGTTTTTTTTTTTTTTTTTTTTAAAGATTTTTAAAATTTGACAGAGACACAGCGAGAGCAGGAACACAAGCAGAGGCAGTGGGAGAGGGAGAAGCAGACTTCCCGCAGAGCAGGGAGCCCGATGTGGGGCTCGATCCCAGGACCCTGGGATCATGACCTGAGCCAAAGGCAGACGCTTAACGACTGAGCCACCCAGGCACCCATGACTATTGTTTTTGTAACTTCAAGGGAATAGTGACTGTAAAAGAGATATGTTATATATATAATAAATATAAAAGATATATATACTATGTAGTATTTTCTGAAGTTAGCATCAAAAATAGTTCATCACTTTTATCTAATTCACTGCGAGAATAGTTTTGATGACTTCTTAAAAGATTAATGTATTCTGTGACAATAAAATTTTATTTACATTTCCAGCAACGTGAACTGGAAGAATGGCAGTTGCAGCAAAGAAGACAAGGATGTATTAATGCAATTATTGAAGAAGAAAGACTAAAACTTCTCAAAGAACATGCTACAAAATTACTAGGATATCTCCCTAAAGTAAGTGAGATTTAACTCAAGGTATAATCTTCCTGACCTCCAATAGTGGGGAAAATACATGCTAATTAGGATTTCAGAGGGCCTGGGTTTCACTTACTTCTGGCTGTTAAAAGCAGTAGTGGGATCTTAGGCAGTCAGTGACACCTGTCTTTAAAATGAGAGAGTTGGTCTTGGCACATTCTTAGAAGTATGAGCTAGATTTCCTGAATTTAAATTTTGGAAGTCTAAAACTAAAGTACCCTAAAGCAGTAGTGATACTTTGTACACTAAAGCTGATGACATACAGGAAAATCTTGAAATTGGTAACACTGCTAACAGACATGTGCTTGAACGAGTCCCAGACAGATCTGCTTTCTAATGGGAGGTTATAAATAAGTACTAGGTAACCTGTTTTTAAAAGTACTTCCAAAAGATAACATTTTCATGTGTGAGATACATTCTGACTCTAAATGGAATAACAATTGAGTTTCATAAGCCATATAAACATCTGGATGCATGTAAATAAAATTTCCATCCTTCAGATATAGAAATGTCATTTGATTTGGAAGAATCAAATGCGTACTTTGTTTTCAGTGCAGTGCTAAGGAAGGAGAAAGGGAAATGAGTAATTATTGCTTGTCCACAGGATGTTATAGTCAAGTGATGTATTAATTTTTTAAAAAGACTATAAATTCTGGAGAGTTTGGGATTTAGATATTTTTAAAAGTAAATAATTGTGGAGATGGGGAGAGCCTAACAAACCTGATACAGCCCCAAATGACCTAAATTATTCTTTAGCTCCTTTAAATTATGTAAGTAAATATTTAACAGCCTTTTGTAAGAGAAAAGTAAATAAAAGCATGGAGAATTTCAAAGGGCTTGCTTAAATGGCGTAACTCCAAACCTGGAGCCTTTCCTGCAAGATTGAAGGTTTGCTGATCGGCCCTGGAAGGAGGCAAGAGCCAGTCCCTTCACCCTGACCTTATTAAAATCTTTCTCATTCAGCCAGTCCTAGCAGTGGTGACCTGCAATAGTAAGGTAGAAGAGCCAAGATTCCTATTACAAATTCTTATACTGGAGCTGATAGATAAGTCAGGAGATCAAAGAATATTCAGTATACATATCGAGTCATAATTTTAGAGAACAGTGATATTTTTCATAAATGTATTAAATAGATTTCATTATCTTGGAGATTAGTCTTACAAGCATTTGGTGAAATACTCTGGCATTTGAAGTAACCCACAAAATATTTTTCTTGTAGGGAGTATTTAAAAAAGAGGATGATATCGATATGCTTGGTGAAGAGTTTCGGAAAGTGTATCAGAAAAGGAGTGAAATTTGTGAAGAGAAGTGACACCATCAAGATTTGGTAAAACCTGGATTGTTTTTACCACTAGATGTCACTGTAACTTTTGTTTTACTAAATCCATAATCTATTTAGATTTTCTAAAGTGTCTCTGTAATTCATATTTTTTTGATAAAAAATTAAGCTACAAAATTGCTTTTAGTTAAACTCGTTCTTGTACTGATGATAATTTGAAGATCTGAGTTCTACACCACAACAGTCCATATAAATACATTAGAGGCCAAACCCAGGAGACTAACTTCTCCATACTACTCCTGCTGGCTCAGAGCTTTTTCTGCATTGCCATTCAGACTACAGTTCCATCGGTATTTGTGTTCTAGGAACTTTACTTCCGGGATTTGGCCAGCCAAAGTATCTTTTTCTTTCTACTATAAGGAAAGAGAATAGAGTGAGGAATTTCAAAGTGCTTTATTTTCAATAAAAACTTAAATGATAAATTTATCTGATTGATAGAAATTCTGTTTTTATGAACTAGAGCTGAATCTCCAGAACATAAAGTACTTTACATTAGAGGGCAAGTGGGTCATAAGAATCGAATCAAAAGTTAAATCCTATTATTTTACAAAATATTACCTTTTTATAATAATTACATATCAATTTTGTATCCCCTAAATCTGAACAGGGAATTCACTGGAATTGCTTTGATTTCATTACCAAATATCTTCATTACTTATAAAGAGTAAAAATAAATCATTAAAACTATAGTTAAATAAAATGTATATGGATCATAGTTATACATACAAAGTCTGTATACTTTAATTATAAAGTAGATCATTTATGAATTTCCCCATTCAATTGCCTTCATAAATTCCTCTTCAGTGAAAGACAGCATCTTGGCAGCTTCAATATGCATCTGCATTTGTAACAAATCAATATTGTTTTAGTATTAAGAGCAGACCACAGAACAACAGGAAATCAATAAAAGTGTGTGTATAAATTTGCTGTCAAATTAATAAGCTCTGTTGGAATGGGTACTCGAATTCTAGCTTGGATGACACTTTAGTTTTGACATGCTCAGGCACAAAATTTTATCTATATAACATACATAATAGGATTTATATATAAAGTACAAATAACTTTTAGTAGAGCAGCCCAAATAACATCTATGATTTAACTATGTTTTTTAAGGATAGACTCACCTTCTGCCTTTTTAAAACATCAATTAATTTTAATTGTTTCTTGAGCCCTATCATTAATTCTCCTTTCTGTTTTTCTAGCTTCTTGTTTTCTGATTTTAATGCTTCAATTTTTTTGTGTTCCTCATTGGCTATATCCTGCAAAAAGAAAAAGAAAAATCCCATATAGTCATCAGTCTTTATTGGAAAAAATTATAAAAAATACTGTCACATTAGTAATAACTATCTTTAACTGAAATACAAAATTTTATAAAACTTTTCTCACAGATTTTAAACATTTTAGAAATAATTCTAATTCCAGTAATGGCAGTTTGCAGTAGACCAACTCTTCTGGGGGTAGCAAAAACATACTTGAAAGTATAGATGAGTAATAGTAGTAAGCAGAAACTGGAGGTGATATGATCCTTGAAAAAGGGAAATATACTGGCTGAAGTCCACATTCAGATGGCTTCTGAAAGCACTTTCTACTTCATGGGTTCACAGGAGACAGACCTTGAGGAAAAAGTAGCAGTCTTCCTGGTCTGAGGAGTAAGACAACAGGGTTGCCAGGGTGGCAGAAATCATAGAAAGAATGGAGCCCTCAAAATTCCCTCAAATCCTTGGCAGACACCTAAATACCCCAAATACCCCATGTGCAGGGTGAGACCCCTAGAAACACATGAAAGACAACAGCTGTGGTCTAAAGAGCTGAGCAGAGAATTCAGCCACAGGCCTGACAAGGGAGAATTTGTAATCTTGGCAAAAATTATCTGAATGAACTGTGCATCAATCTGGACAATGCAGAAAAAGGACCAGTGAACTCTGACAGGTCAGTAGAATTTAAGTACAGAAAGATCTTAAAAAAATGTTAAAGGATGCCTTTTATGCAAAAGGACAATTATACCAGAAGGAAATCTGAATCTATATACACATATAAAAAAGGTACCAGAAATAATAACATAAATATCAGCCTTTTTTAAATAAATCTCTTTAAAAGATAATTGATAGTGATGTCACCAAGATGGCAGATTAGGAAGTTCAGGCCCTCATCCCCCAACAAACATACATGGAAACAGTGAAGATACAGTGTAGTGTTGTGAGAAGTATAGAAGCCAATTAAGCAGCAGTAACAACTAAGCAAACACCTAACCAAGAAATAGCCACATTCAAAATGATAGGAAATTTCATGGCATTTATGCTCATCCTTTACCCTTACCCTCCTGGCATAATGGAAGGAAGACTTTCAATTTGTAGAAAGAAGAGTAGAACTTGCTTGTAATGTTCTGACTTGTCTGGGGAATGCTTGAGGGACTGTCTCGCCTGACTCAGAGCACTGATGGAATGGTGGCACAGTTTATATATCAGGTTGGAGGCTGCTGGAAGCAGTAGTGGGAACTGCTGCACATGGGGCCTAGAGGGGTTCTGCAGAACCATGAATGCCTAGGGGCAAGAGATTATCGGGATTATTTATTGAGGAGTAAAATACAACATCTAAGGCCCTGAGAAGAAGCAGGGCTGAGATTCCTAGGAAATTAGACAAAACAGACAAAAGAGCTTTAAGACAAACAGAAAACAATACAAAATGATAATAGGAAGTTATTTCCCATCAGTAATAACTTGAAATGTAAATAAATGTAAAATTAATGTAATGTAAATAAACTTCCCCTAGATTGGATTTAAAAAACAAGATTGAACTGTATACTGTCTACAAGAGACTCACTTTAGATCTAAGGACATATACTGAAAACTGAAAGGATGAAAAAAGATACTGCATGCAAATGGTACCCAGAGGAGGAGAGAGGTGGCTATAATATCAGACAAAATAGACTTTAAGTCAAAACAGTTATGAGAGACAAAAAAGGCCATTATATAATAAAATGCTCAATTCACCAAGGAATTATAACAATTATATATGCACCAAACATCAGTTCCTAAAAATACTGACAGAACTGGTGGAAGAAAAAAAACAACTCTGCAATTATAGTAGACTTTAATACCCCACCTATGGATATAACAAACAGAAAGAAGAGCAATGAGAACAGTACTTGAACAACCCAACAGACCAACTGGACCCAAAAGACATATAGTACATTCCACCCAACAAAATCAAAATACACATTTTTCCCCCTAAAGATTGATTTATTTATTTTAGAGAGTGAGAGAGCACACGGGAGGCGCAGAGAGAGAGGGAGAGAGAAACCCAAGCAGACTCTGTGCTGAATGTAGAGCCTGATCCGATGCGGGGCCCAATCTCACCACGCTGAGACTACAACCTGAACTAAAACCATGAATTGGCGCTCAACCGACTGTACCACCCAGGTGCGCCCAAGTACACATTTTTCTTGTACATGGAACATTCTCCAAAAGAGATCATGTTAGGCCACAAAACAAGTCTGAATAAATTTTAAAAGACTGAAGCCATACAAACGGTCTTTCCTGTTCCCACTGAAATGAAACTAGAAATCAACAACAGAATGAAAATTGGAAAATCCATAAATATGTGGGAATTAAACAACATACCCTTAACCAATGGGTCGAAAAAGAAATCACAAGGGAAATTAGAAAATATCTTCAGATAAATGACAATGAAAACACAACATACCAAAACTTATGGGATGTAGTCAAAGCAATGCTCAGTGGAAAATGTATAGCTATAAATGCTTACATTAAAAAAGAATAAAGATCTCAAATCATAACCCAACTTTATAACTAGAGAACTAAACCCAAAGCTAGTTAAAAATAGGAAATACTAAGGATTAGAGCAGAGATAAATGAAATAGAAAATAACACTAGAGAAAAATTAATGAAACCAGGAGTTGGTTCTTTGAAAAGATCAACAAAATTGACTTCACCTAGACTAAGAAAAAAAAAAAGACTCAAATAACTAACAGAAATGAAAGGGGATATGACAACTGACTTTACAGAAATAAAATTGTAAATGGGAGAGTAGACATTACAACTGAAACCACAGAAATAGAGGATAAGAGAATGAACAATGGTACACCAATAGACTGGATAACCTAGGCAAAATAAATTCCTAGACACTCCCAATCTACTAAAACTGAATGATGAAAAAATAGGAAATCAGTTCAGGCAATCCAAACAACTATGTAACTAGTTAGGGGATTTAAGGAGTACTCAAAAACCTCTCAACAAGGAAATCCCCAAACCAGATGGCTTCACTGGAGAATTCTACCAAATATTTAAAGAAAAATTAACACCGAGAAGAGTCCAAGATGGCAGAGGAGGAGGAGACCTTAATTTCATCGGGTCCCAGGAATTCAGCTAGATAGCTATCAGATCATTCTGAACACCTACAAACTCAACTGGAGATCGAAGAAAAGAATACCTGCAACTCTACAAATAGAAAGGCGACCACTTTCTGGAAGGTAGGACATGCGGAGAAGTGAATCAGAGACGACATACGGGAATATAGACTGTGGGGGGAGGGAGCCTCTTCAGCCAGCTACTGGCAAGTGATAGAGCAGCAGAGCACAAAATTGGAACTTTTAGAAGTCGGCTCCACTGAGGGAGGTCACTCAGGTGGCTAAGCAGGAGGTGGAACCCTCGCTGGGACAGTGTGGTCTCAGGACCCTCGGGGTCACAGAAAGACTGGGGGTGCCTGAGTGTGGCAGAGCTCCCAGGTATCAGAGCGGGGAAGCCAGCTGCAGAGACAGAGCCCAGGAGCGGGCTCTCAGCTCGGGGATGCCATAAACCATGATCCACGGCACAGTCGGGCCACTGCTCTTCCAGCAGGGACCAAACCAGTGGCAGATCCGGGGAGACTCCCCTTCCTCCTCCAGGGAGGAGCAGCACGGGAGCGCACCGCAGGGATCTGCTGGGTTTGGGGACTCCACATGGGGTCGGGTGCCAGAGGTAGAAATGCTCAGTCACAGGCCGGGTGCACGGAGTGCGGCTGGAGACCAGGGAGATGGGAGTGACTGACTGCTTTTCTCTGGGGGCTCACTGAGGAGTGGGGACCTGAGCTTTTGGCTCCAGGGCTGGAGATTGGGGGAAAAAAAAAAATACTAGCTGGGCTTGAAAAAAGCAGAGAGGACACCAGAGAATCCCTTTCTGGAGAAATAAAAAAACTAAAATCTAACCAAGTTGAAATAAAAAAAGGCTATTAATGAGATGTAATAAAAAATGTAGGCTCTGAGGGGGCGGAGCAAGATGGCGGAGGAGGAGGAGACCTGGACTTCATCTCCTCTCAGGAATTCAGCTGGATAGGGATCAAACCATTCTGAACACCTACAAACTCAACAGGAGACCGAAGAAAAGAAGAGCAACAACTCTCTCATCAGAAAAGCGACCACTTTCTGGAAGGTAGGACGTGCGGAGAAGTGAATCCGAGGCAATATTCGGGAGGATAGACAGCGGGGGAGGGGCCTCCGTCAGCCGCTTCTGGCAAGTGATAGAACCACGGAGCACAAAATCGGAACTTTTAAAAGTCTGCTCCGCTGAGGGACGTCACTCTGGTGGCTAAGCGGGGGGTGGAACCCTCCGGGACAGTGTGGTCTCAGGACCCTCGGGGTCACAGAAAGACCGGGGGTGCCTGAGTGTGGCAGAGCTCCCAGGTAACGGAGCAGGGAAGCCGGCTGCAGAGGCGGAGCCCAGGCGCGGGCTCTCAGCTCGGGGTTGCCATTGACCGTGATCCGCGGCACAGTCGGGCCCCTGCTCCTCCAGCAGGGACCCAACAAGCGGCAGATCCGGGGAGACTCACCTTCCTCCCCCGAGAGGAGCTGTGCGGGAGTGCACCGCAGGGATCTGCTGGGTTTGGAGACTCCACCCGGGGTCGGGTGCCAGAGACAGAAACGCGCGGTCACAGGCCAGGTGAACACAGAGTGTGGCCGGAGACCGGGGAGACGGGAGTGACTGACGGCTTTTCTCTGGGGGCTCACTGAGGAACGGGCCCCGAGTTCTCGGCTCCTCCGGAGCGGAGATTGGGAGGCCGCCATTTTCACTCTCTGCCTCCAAAGCTGTACGGAAAGCTCGCAGGGAACAAAAGCCCCGGAGAGCAAACCCGAGCAGATTACTTAGCCGGGAGGGGGCAAGGGCGGGGCAATTCCGCCTCCGGCAGAGACATTTGGAAACCACGGCAACAGGCCCCTCCCCAGAAGATCAGCGAGAACAGCCAGCCAAGACCAAGTTTACTGATC